CGCACAGGAGCACCTGAGGGAGCTGATAGAAAAGCTGACAGTCATTGCACATCATCGCAAGATAACGTACAAGGTATCTTTCCGTCTTTTCTGCAAAAAATACACTGTCATACAGACATTTCTAAAAAGTGGCCATACCTCAACACTTATATTTAAAAACAAATTTACAAAGAAGCCGCGGTTATGAATTATACTCTGTGATCTGAGTTACTGTTATCTGCTTTTCTGTGTGTTTATGTAATTTGAGCTTGATGGATCACTCATAAGATTGCAACCAGAATAAATATGCACCTATGAGTGTGTGTATACATAAACTGGGTATGAATGCCCTTGCACATAGAGAGAGAGATGGAAGAAGCAAGTGGCAGTCATAAATATACCAGAGCTCCACTGAATTCTTACTGATGCACAAGAAAGACAAAGTAAAACAAATATTTAATTTTTCAAATTTCTTAACCAGTAGAAAAGAAAATACTCTGGTGAAGAACAATGTTTTATCGGAATTATGCTGCAAATATTTCTCATCAGCATATAAATGTAATGCGCTTATGTAGGGTTTCCTTCCTGAACCTGGTACATAACCCAGAAAGTTGCATTTTCATATTTTTACAGTATACTTAAAGGATTTCTCTTTGTATTGAGCCGAAGTCTTACTGTAAACCTCTGTGTTAGAGACATGATTCAATGCGTTTATACTGTACATTAAATTACAATATTATCTATAAATTAAAAACTTCACATAAAAATAGAATAAGCACTAACATGTTGAATTCTATAGCAGGTGGTACTGTGTCCAGCAATATAGGGGGAACCTGTGTTGCACGTTTTAATTCCACAGGACCTACTGTTGTTGAGGGGTAATAACGATAAGTGTTTTTCAGAGTTCTATCTTTTGTGCTTTAGTTGTTCTGAAGACTGTTCAAGTAAAGGAAATTAAACTACTCAGTACAAAGTGAGGGTTTCATGATCATAAGAATAACTCTGCTTGACACCATGTATGTATGATATACATACTAAGGCTATGCATTTCAAACATGATTTAATGCATTTGTATGTAATTAATGTATGATAGTACCGTATATAAACATTGTATACTGTATACAGTATTAAAAAAAAACTTTAACTGAAAAAGAAAATTGATCAGTCATACCTTAATTGATGAGAGGCAGTGTTTGCTGGCGTGTGTCTTTGTGTTTAATCTTCTATCCACAATTTTTTTTCCCCATTTCCTCTCTCCTTAGTTTTGTAATGGTTGATTTCAGGAAGCCAGATGATTTAGCTTGTTCCACTATTCGTTCTTTCTTTCACAGTGGTGTTCACCAGCCTGGCTGCAGTCTTCGATAATGAATCACCCTTTTCATTTGTATTTAATATATATTTTTTATGTTTCTGGTGCAATTGTTTTACTGCTTTAAGGTGCAAGGTTTTAAAACTTTAAAAGTGATACTACTGCTTCTTTGCTGCCCCAGTATCGCCTTCCCCATCAGATTTACAGTCCGCTTGTTGGCTATGATTAGAGTAAAAATTAAATAAATTAGCTATAAAGAGCACAATGCCAAGTACAGCACAGGCCAAATGTTCTCCGGCCCACACAGCTCCTCTACTCAACACGTTACATGATCTTACATTGTGTGAGGTGCGTAGATTATATGTGACCAAGTTTTTATTTTATGAAGTGGTGGCTACACAAGTACATGTAAGTCATGTACTACGCAACTCGGTGACCACCTGTGTACTGTTTTCTTGAAGCAAAACCAGATCAGTACCTTCATGTTCCTTTATTAATGCCTTCAGTTATACCTTCATGGTAACATCAGTGG